TGTATGATGGATGAGTGTTACATGGTGGATTGGTGTTGCATGATGGATGAGTGTTATGTGATAATTTTTACTGTCTCTTTTGTCCCCCTTCCTGTTATATAAAGAAACTATACACGCTCTCTGCCAATCCCTAGGTACCTTCCCCTCTGTCATACATTTATTAAACAAATATACCCACCACTCTAACACTATATCCCCCCTGCTTTTAATATTTCTCTTAGGATCCCATCAGTTTCAGCTGCTTTACCCTCTTTCATTCTATGTAAAGCCTCACCAACCTCCCCACACTCACATCCTGCTCTTCTTCACTCTTACAAGATGTTGTATCTCCCTGGCCATTGCATTAAATTATCACCTCCCTTTCTTTATCGATATCTAAAAGTTCCTCAAAACATTCCGATCATCTACCCAATACCTCCAGCTCCCCATCAACTAACTCCCCTCTTCTGTTTTTCAGTGAAAAATCCATTCGTTCTCAAGGATTTCTTAACCTGTTCATCTTACTCCAATTTTTTTTCATATTGTCAGCAAAATTTCTTGACAGTGCCTCTCCCACTCTTTCACCTGCTCTCCTTTTGCACTCTTTCACCACTCTCTTCACCTTTCTTTTACTCTCCATATACTCTGCCCTTCTTATATCGCTTCTACTTTGTAAAAACCTCTCATAAGCTACCTTTTTCTCTTTTATCATACCCTTTACTTCATCATTCCACCAGTCACTCCTCTTTACTGCACCCACCCTCCTATAGCCACAAACTTCTTCCCCACAATCTAATACTGCAGTTTTAACACTAACCCATCCTTCTTCAACCCCCACACTTCTCATACTTGCACTAGCCCACCTTTCTGCCAATAATTGCTTATATCTCACCCTAACTTCCTCCTCCCTTAGTTTATAAACTTTCACCTGTCTCTTACTTACCGTTGCCACCTTTCTTTTGTTCCATCTACCTCTTAGCCTAACTGTAGCTACAACTAAATAATGATCCGGTATATCCGTTGCCCCTCTATAAACATGTACATCCTGAAGCCAACCCATCAATAAGTAATGCAACAAAGTACTTTCATTACGCGATATAACATGCCTTTTATTCTTATTTACCCTCTTTTTCATAAAATATGTATTATTACCAATCCTCTTTCTACACAGTCCATAATCATCTCTTTCACATTAACGAGTTTTTCTTTTTCTTGTTAATAAGCTATACGGGAAAAGGGGTTATTAGCCCATTGCTCCCGGCATTTTAATTGACACACATGGCTTACGGAGGAAAGATTCTTATTTAACTTCCTCATGGATATGAAGGGAAAAGCAATATGAACAAGAACTATTAAGATAAAATCACAGAAAACTCAGATGAGTGTGTATACATAAACGTGAACATGTATGTGTAGTGTGACCTAAGTGTAAGTAGAAGTAGCAAGACGTACCTGGTCAATTAGAAAGAACTCATTTAAAATTAAGTCCTTTCTAAAATTTTCTCTTATACGTTTAAAGATATATTTTTTCAGTAATGTTAATGTAAAAATTTATAATTTTGCACCAAAAGAATCTTAGAAAACTTACCTAACCTTATTATAGCAAGCGCAATTTATTTTAGCCTAACCCAACTAAATATATTTTAGATTTGTTTACAATAATTTAAAATTAAATAAATACACCGAAATATATTTTTTTCGTTAGGTTCAGAATGATTTTGGCGAAATTATTGCATACACAAATTTTCGCTTTTCTTATATGGCAATTTAAGCAAAGATCGCACATCTGCCTATTGGGCACGACATATATATACATATATATATATATATATATATATATATATATATATATATAATTATATATATATATATATATATATATATATATATATATTAAAATGTATATGTCTTTCTTTCTTTCAACACACCGGCCGTATCCCACCAAGTTGGGGTGGCCCAAAAGGAAAAACGAAGGTTTCTCCTTTTACATTTAGTAATATATACAGGAGAAGAGGTTACTAGCCCCTTGCTCCCGGCATTTTAGTCGCCTCTTACAACACGCATCGCTTACGGAGGAAGAATTCTGTTCCACTTCCCCATGGAGATAAGAGGAAATAAACAAGAATAAGAACCAGAAAGAAAATAGAAGAAAACCCAGAGGGGTGTGTATATATGTGCTTGTACATGTACGTGTAGTGTGACCTAAGTGTAAGTAGAAGTAGCAAGATGTACCTGAAATCTTGCATGTTTATGAGACAGAAAAAAGGACACCAGCAATCCTTCCATTATGTAAAAAACAATTACAGGCTTTCGTTTTACACTCACTTGGCAGGACGGTAGTACCTCCCTGGGGGGTTGCTGTCTACCAACCTACTACCTGATATAATATATATATATATATATATATATATATAATATATATATATATATATATATATATATACATATGTATGCACTAGCCAAGGAGTCGAACCCGTATTGTTTTGGCCCGCCTCATGGCGAGAGAAAACGCATGACGCTTTAGTCCGCTAGACCACACAATCCTTAACAATGGTGAATCCATTGTGGTCTAGTAGTCTAAAGCGTCGTGTGTTTTCTCACTATGAGGCGGGCCAAAACAGCATGGGTTATACTCCTTGGCTAGTGCAGTGTTGTTATTGATCAATACCACTTGTTCTGTGAGTACAATAATATATATATAATATATATATATATATATATATTATATATATATATATATATATATATATATATATATAAACACTGATCTCTGGCTGAAGGAGACTCGAACCTACGAACCTTGGGACAAGGTACACAGTGCTTTACCAATCTACCCACACTGGACAATACCTTGGCATGTAGCTTGCGCTACATGTTTGATCCAAGGAAGCCAGCTTTCAGGGAGAAGGCTTACAGCTTTTCATCTCAAATTGTTCAAATCTCTAGTAAGACTGATGCATGCAGGGGATGAGAAGAAAAGCTGTAAGCCTTCTCCCTGAAATCTGGCTGCCTTGGATCAAACGTGTAGCGCAAGCTACACGCCAAGGTATTGTCCAGTGTGGGTAGATTGGTAAAGCACTGCGTACCTTGTCCTAAGGTTCGTAGGTTCGAGTCTCCTTCAGCCATAGATCAGTGTTTGTGTACATTTCGCCTGCTCTCGCGAATTCCTTGCATATATATATATATATATATATATATATATATATATATATATATATATATATATATATATATATATATATATATATATAATATATATATATAATATATATATATATATCCCACAGCAGATTCGACATCAGAGTCCTGCTGTGGACAGAGAGACAATGTTTGTAAATAATTTTTATGAATTGTTAAGCATATCAGAATCTCTTTCATTGTTCACAGCATGTGATGGGATTTGACGAAATAACTTTGAACAAGCTGGTGCTCAGTGGTATGAGGAAACACCGTCTAGCTTCCGTAAGCAGAGACGGAGAGCAGGATCGTAGGTAAACAAGGATGTTCTTGGGAAGGTAGGGGATATGTAAACCTTGTGTTTACATTGTAGCCTAAGTCTTCGTTGCATGTATGGATTTAGAAGAGGCACACAATGGGGCGGATTGGGAAGCGATGTGGAAGACGTTGAATTTAGAAGAGGACAGTGAATTGTCTTGTTAGGGGATGGATAAGTTAAGATAAGATAAGCTTTTGTTTGGATCTTTAACCCGGTGGGTTAGCCACCCAGGATAACCCAAGAAAGGTAGTGCGTCATCGAGGGACTGTCTGTCATCTGTCACCATGGTTGTTCAACATATATATATAGGCGGGCTTATAAAAGTAATTAATGCTAGGTAGGGTGTTGAGAAGACGTGTGGGATTAGAAGATAAAGAATCAAGTATAAAGTTGTAGTTGTCAAGTTGCGTTTTACAAATGTTTTTGGGAGATTCTGAAGAGAAGTTTCTGAGATTGATAGGTGAATTTGGGAAGGTATGTAAAAGATGGAAATTAAAAGTGAACATAATAAAGAGGAAGGTGACGAGAGCAACAAAAATTATATTAGAGTCTGGATATCAGATCTGAAGGAGGGAATATGGAGGAACTGAATGTTTTCAGATATTTGGGAGTCTAGAACTGACGAGAGAAGAAGGGAGGTGGTGCATTGAGGCATCTGTTGATAGAAAAAACTATTATTTGAGTGTGAAGTATGGGATGTGAATGTTGCAGCAAGGAGCAGGCTGGAAGCAGTGGTGATGTCATATCTGAGGCAATGTGTGGTGTGAATATTATGCAGAGAATTTAAAGTTTTAAGATAAGAAGGAGGTGCGAGATCATTGGAAGTATTATAGAAAGGACTTGGGAGAGGCTGTTGGCTTGATTTGGACATATAGAGAGGATGGGGAAAAATAGGATGACTTGAAGGGTGTATAAATCTATATATTAGGGTAGGCGGGGTAGTGGTCTTTATAGGTAGAGTCGGAGGGGAGAGTAAAGGAAGTTTTATACATCCAACAGGTGTGTGTGTGAGTGTGTTAGACAGGAGTGAAGGCAAGTGTTTTTTATGAACTTACGTGATGTTGGAGTGTGAGCAAGGTAAAGTTCTTGAAGGGGTTCAGGGAACCCAGTTAGCCGGACTTGAGTCCTGGAGGTAGGAACTACAATGTATGCACTCCATCACTAGCTTGCCAGAGGCAAGATAGTGATGGAGTGAGTGATGGAGACAGTGTTTCTTTTTTTTTTCGTCACTCTACCTCAGTGGGAGGCGGCCGGTGCGTTTAAAAATGAGTGACTCATACTGTGACCCTGTGAACAATAAAATCTAATAACCCACATTAATTTGTACTTTTCCCTCATTATACATGTCTGCTCTTACAGTTAAATTCTCTCTCATCCGTCTGTACACATCCACTATACACATGCACTTATGAGATATCACCCATCATCTCTCCTCTGTACTAATCCACTTGGGAACAATCTGCTCTTACCGCCAAATTTATGGAAAATAACATAAAGTGACACATAAGGTATTAAAAATAAGCACTTCACAAGGCAAGACTTTATTGTAATGCAAGTCTTAGTCATACGTTCTTCATGAGAGACAAGTAAATAAGTATATTTTTAATTAAAACAGAGTTCAGACATAAGTCATGTGACGACTTATTCACATGACTTGAAAAATACCCACTGGAACTTTTATACCCAGTAAGAGTGGATAATGAAAAGTGAAAGATGTAATTGTAATAAATTATTCCCATCCGTGGTTAAATGCTTTCTGATTCTATTTTTGCTCTTTTTGTTCTTTATATGAAATAGTGGTGTTTTTATTTTATGTTGATGGTGCCATATATCTTATTTTCTTTTTCATTACAAAGATGAATCTCCAGCTTCTTCCATCAATTTTTAAATAATATTTATTCATTTTGTAAATGTTTGAAGACAAAATAGGATATAAATCAAGCCTCCGTCGAGGTCATTTTCCTTGAGCTTGAAATTGGCTGTTTACCTGAACCTCCTTTCTTGCAGGAGTATTACTGAGAGGTTCAGGGCTGGTGTCCCTCGCCAGCAGCTTCCACAGTCGCTCGTAGAGACGGACACACGTGGCGTTCACCAACCGAGGCTCCAGTTCTCGCGGCGCCACCGGCCCTGTCAGTCATCAGAAAATTTAGAAGCTAGTCATATTATCGAATGTACATATTATTAAGGCTGAACTCAAGAACAGTTTAATCTAGAGCCTCTCACTAATGCAATAAGGGAAAGAAATACTATTTCGAAATAAAAAGTAAAAAATGGCATCTGCAAAATCCATTAATATACCAATCTTCTTCCAAATAGGACACACAAGTGTTGATGTTTTGAAACCAATCAGAGGATCCTGTCTACCTATCACACGTAAACAATATTTGATAATAGCCTATGTAGCAGTGCGCATAGATCATCCTGGCAACCAGTGGCGAGCGGGGTCCCACAGGGGTCAGTCCTGGGACCAGTGCTATTCTTGGTATATGTGAACGACATGACGGAAGGGATAGACTCAGAAGTGTCCCTGTTTGCAGATGACGTGAAGTTAATGAGGAGAATTAAATCAGATGCGGACCAGACAGGTCTACAAAGAGACCTGGACAGGCTGGATGTGTGGTCCAGAAACTGGCTCCTAGAATTTAACCCCGCCAAATGCAAAAGTCATGAAGATCGGAGGAGGGCAAAGAAGACTGCAGACAGAGTATAGGCTAGGTGGCCAAAGGCTGCAAACCTCACTCAAGGAGAAAGACCTAGGAGTGAGTATAATACCGAGTACATCGCCAGAAGCACACATTAACCAGATAACTGCTGCGGCATATGGGCGATTGGCAAACCTGAGAATAGCGTTCCGGTACCTCAGTAAGGAATCGTTCAAGACTTTACACACTGTGTACATGAGGCCCATACTGGAGTATGCAGCACCAGTTTGGAACCCACACCTGGTCAAACACGTCAAGAAATTAGAGAAAGTGCAAAGGTTGCAACAAGGCTGGTTCCAGAGCTAAGGGGAATGTCCTATGAAGAAAGGTTAAGGGAAATCGGTCTGAAAACACTGGGGAAAGGGGGGTCGGGGGGAGACTGATAACTTTCATACAAAATACTGCATGGAATAGAAAAGGGTGGAAAAGACGGGATGTTCCGGAGGGGACCAGAAAAAAGGGGGCAAAATTTGGGAAAAGCTGAAGATCAGATGGTTAAAGGGATGTTGGGAAAGTATTTCTTTCATTCATAGGTAGTTGGAGGGGGGAATAGTCTGGCAAGCTATTAGTGGAGGCAGGAACTATACTATTTTAAGACGAGATTGATAAAGCTCAGGGAGCGGGGGGGAGAGGGGGGCTATAGGGGTCTGAAGAGGCGGGGCCAGGAGCTGAGCTGCCCCCTGCAACTACAATTTGTGAGTACAATTAGGTGTGTAAACGTGGAAAATTTGGAGGCGTCGAATAAAGCATTCTCGAGTAACAATAAAAAAAAGTTGTAAAAAAATCAAAGAAAATATTGTGAGAATGTTGTAAAAAAAAATAACGTATGGTCTTTTAAATTTTAAAATCCATAAAACCCCAAACGATTTTTTATCAGTTTACTTTTCTTTTTTCAATTCTGTTTAAATTTCTAATTAAAAATTTTTAAAAAATACTTCCTCTTAAGATGATAACTTTAATTTATATGTTGAGCAAAAGAAACATTCTCGCTTATTACTGGCAACAATTTATTAATAATTTTGACAAATTTAAATTAACATTTCAAAGTGGTGCAAGTTCGTTGCAAAAACCCAACCTGAGGAAAAGTTTGAAGACATCAGGATAAACATTCTTTAGTTTTTTATTTTGATTCACGATTAAATTTTTTATTTATTTCACAAAAATTTCAATATTCCCAAATTTTTGCATCGTCAAAAAATTTTTTTAAAGTAAACACAAAAAAAACTTCATTCGTTATTAAATAAAAATATAAATTTTTAATAAAATTCAAAATTAAAGATTTATCCCTCGAAGGGCGCTTGAATTTATGTTCAGGAAACAAACTTGTGGTAAAAAATTTAAAGCGATCAGATAATCTTTCACCTTTGGAAACGTTTCCAAAATTTTCAAGTTTTTTACTTTTTCTTATCACAATCTGTTTTAATAGGTTATCCGGGGTCCTAAGATGGGTTACTACCGGGTCCAAAGATAGGTACTACCCGGGGTCCTAAGATAGTTACTATCCTGGTCTAAATGGTACTACCTAGTCATAAGATAGGTCTACCCCTGGTCTAAGATGGTTTCTACCTGGTCCATAAGATGGGTACTATCCTGGCCCTTAAAGATAGTACTACCCTGTCAAGTAGGTATTCCTGATATAAATAGGACTATCCTGGCCTAGATGTTACTTTCCTGGTCATAAGAAGGTCTATCCTGGTCCTAAGTGGGTATTACCTGGTCATAAGATGGGTTTTCTATCAGGTCATAAGATAGGATTTCCCTGGTCCTAAATAGGTATATCCTGGTCCTAAGATATTTACTTCCGGGTCCTAAAAGGTACTACCAGTCATAAGATAGGTACTATCCTGGTCCTAAGATAGGTACTATCCTGGTCATAGAGGGGTACTTTCCTGGTTTAAGATAGGTACTATCCTGGTCCTAAAGGTACTATTTTTCATAAGTAGGTACTTCCGGGGTCAAAGATAGGTCTATCGGGCATAAGATAGGTATATCCGGTCCTAGATAGGTATTATCCTGGCATAAGTAGGTACTATCATGGTCATAAGATAGGTATTCCGGGTTCCAAAGATGGGTACTTTTCCTGGTCCAAAGATAGGCATTCCCTGGTCCTAAGATAGATACATCCTGGTCTTAAAAAAGGTACTATCCGGCCAAAGATAGTACTATCCTGGTCCTAAGATAGGTACTACCCTGGTCCTAAATAGGTACTACCCTGGTCTTAAGTAGGTCTATCCTGGTCCAAAATAGGTATATCCTGATCATAAGATAGGAACCCCTGGCCCTAAGAAGGTATATCCTGGTCAAAGAAGGGTCTATCCTGGCCCTAAGATGGTTTACCTGGTTAAGATGGGTTACCCTGGTCATAGATAGGTACTATCCTGGCCCAAAGATGGTACTACCCTGGTCCTAAATGGCACTACCCTGGCCAAGATGATATACCCGGCAAAAGAAAGGTCTACCCAGGTCCAAAGATAGGTACATCCTGGTCCTAAAAAGGGTTTCATCGGTCCTAAGATAGGTACTACCCTGTCAAAAGATAGGTCTATCCTGGTCCAAAAAGGTCTATCCTGATCAAAGATAGGTACTACCCTGGTCCTAAGATGGGTACTACCCGGTCATAAGTGGGTACTACCCTGGTCCTAAATAGGTTTTACCCTGGTAAAAGATGGGTACTATAGGTCATAAGAAGGTAATACCCTGGTCCTAAGATGGTCTTCCTGGTCCTAAGATAGGCACTATCCGGGTCCTAATAATTTTTCCTGGTCATAAGATAGGTACTACCAGTCCAAAGAAGGTACTTTCCGGGCCCAAGAAAGGTACCCCCTGTCCAAAGAAGGTACTTCCTGGTCTTAAGATAGGTTTTCCCGGTCCTAAGATGGTAGTGCCCTGATATAAGGGGTACTATCCTGGCCCAAGATGGGTACTATTGGTTAAATAGGTACTATCTGGTCCTAAGATGGGTATTATCCGGTATGATATCTTCCTGGTCATAGATAGGTCTATCCTGGTCCTAAGTGACTACCCTGGCCTAAGATAGGCACTATCCTGGCCCTAAGATAGATCTACTGGTCTTAAGAAAAGGTACTATCCGGGTCCAAAGATAGGTATTTCCCGGGGCCCCTAAGTAGGTACTTCCTGGTCCTAAGATAGGTATATCCTGCTCAAAAGATGGTACACCCGGTCCTAAGATAGGTATATCCTGGTCGTAGAAGGTCTACCCTGGCCCTAAGATAGGTACTATCCTGGTTAAGTAGGTACTATCCTGGCCCTAAGATAGGTATATCCTGGTCCTAAGTAGGTATATCCGGTTTTCTAAGAAAGGTATATCCTAGCCCTTTTAAGGTACTATCCTGGTCCTAAGATAGGTATTTCCCGGGTCATAAGAATGTATTTTCCGGCCTAAAAAAGGTACTATCCTGGATAAGTAGGTACTATCCTGGTCCTAAAAAGGTATACCCGGTCATAAGATGGGTACTACCTGGTCCTAAGTAGGTACTATCCTGGTCCGAAGATAGGTATTCCTGGTCATAAGTTTGTACTATCCTGGTCATAAGATAGGTACTACCCGGGCCCCTAAGAGGGGTACTACCGGTCCTAAGTAGGTACTATCCTGGTCATAAGATAAGTACTATCCTGGTCCTAAGATAGGTACTATCCTGGTTCTAAGATAGGTACTATCCTGGTCATAAGATAGATACTATCCTGGTCCTAAGATAGGCACTTTCCTGATCCTAAGATACTTAAACCATTAATATGGGAGATAAAATAAACTGGATTTAAGGCGATTTAACGGGGATAAAAAATTCACATTATTTTACAGATAAAATCTCAAAATTTCCACCAACACGAATGAATTTCATCCGGTCATCGTCGAAATTTTTGGGCACCGTTTTCTTGGTGAAGCTCCGCCACTGATGATTTTTGAAGTTACCCGAACCATCCCAGGAAGACGGGAATAAGTTCAACAACTTTGGTCAAGAATTTTGGTTCTCGTATTCAAGTGTTGTAAATCAGAATCCCACCACATGAAAACCAAAAATGAGGGTTGGGGGGTTTGGCCAAATAAATTTAAAAGTTAGAGAAAAAAGGAGAAAAGAAAATTCATTAACTTTTTTAGATACCCTTTGGTTAGCTAAAAAGTCGATCTTCATGGATATAGTGTACTAACACAAATCTTTGGCAGAAGACAAGATTTTATGTCATACAGAGGAGAGAGTATTTTTTGCGTGCACTGAGGGAGTTGCGTGAACTGAGGGGTGGGTGAGACTGAGGGGTTGCGTGGCGGGGAGTGTGGTGAGACGATTGCGTGTGCGTGGACTGAGGGAGTGTGCGTGATATGAGGGGGTGTGCTTTGGGGAGGGAGTGCGCGTGGATGAGGAGTGTGCGTGAGCTGAGGGATTGCGTGATACGAGGGGTTGCGTGAGA